CAACATCAATCAACATCAATGACAACATTATAAACATAATCGACAAAAATAAACAACACCAACAATAGCATATACAACATTTCTAATACTAATAACAACAACAACAACAACAACAAAAACAGCATTATAAACAACATCAACAATATTATTAAAAACATCAACAACAACCCCAACAACCACACTAACAACCCCAACAACCACATCATCAACAACAACTTAAGCAGCAACAACATCAACGCCAACGACAACATTATAAACATATTCAACAAAAACAAACAACAACACCAACATTAGCATCAACAACAGCCACAACAACAACAGCAACCTACCCAGCTTGACACAACCGACATCTGTCAGCAGTATGTTGGCGCCCTGGTATAAAATTTATGAAAAAAAAAATTTTTTTTCTTGCATCATAAAAATTATCAATTATCAAAAAAAATTATCATTATATCGCAAATTATTATCATTTGAAACCAATCAAAATATCAATATTATTATTATCGGATTATTTGTATAGCGCCTGCTATCACACATCAAAAGTGCTCAAATATATTAGATATAGTCTTGTAGCTTATATAGGCAGTGCCCTCCTTGGAAACGAAGTTTCTACCAGAAGAACACAGAAATGTTGTAATGATCTCATTCATTGTTTCATCAAATGGAGAAATATCACAATGTTGATGGATATTTTATCAATCAATATTTAAAAATAACTTTCGTTAGCGTGGTTTAATTTTTTCAAATGTTTGATTTCTGCCCGGCAGTTTGTATACTATGAAGCTCAATGTTTGCTGGAGTTTAATTTAAAAAAATAGAAGTTGATGACATTTGAAAGAAGCATTTTGTTGCTGTGGTGAGTCCCTTTTTATGAAATGTTTTTCTTGGATAGAATGGATGAGAAAAATTCTTAAAGTCGTTAATTCCCAAGAGAATGATGAGATGATATATTTATCATTGGTACAGTTTAACAGATACAGAACGGTGCATCCCAATTAGAAGTCTTCAATAACTAACTAAACTAAACTAAACCAACCAACCAACCAACCAACCAAACAACCAACCAAACAACCAACCAACCAACCTAACTAACTAACTGCCTGTCCCACGTTTGAATGGCACGACAAACCTTCACAAACTAACTACACGTTTCGCACACAACTAAGATAATTTCGACAACACTGTTTAACTATTTATAGATTGACTGGTTATCGACGCCTAGGTTTAAATTTTAATACAAACTACTATTCCACCAAACATACTTGCATAACTGCATACACAGCAAAAGGTATACATGTGTACCTATACAATAAAACCGCCATACACAAACCAACAAACTGTTCCAAACACAAAAATCACACACAAATTTACACACAGACACACACACACACACACACACACACACACACACACACACACATACACACACACAGATATAAATACATACAAATATACAAAAACCGACACAAATACCAGACACATTGACTCTACCCATTCGGAAACACACACACCACACATACAGGGACACACACGCACGCACGCACACACACAATGACACGACACACACCTTAATATCTCGATGCATTTTTCCATTGGTGTGCAAGTAATGTAGGCCCCTCAACGTCTCTCTCGTTATGAACGCTATCTGGAGCTCTTGTAATGATCCAGTCACTGTATGATGGTGATGACGATATGATAATGCGGTATGATGTATGGCAGTAATGTAAAAGTCACAGTAATGATATTAGTGGTGTGAGAATGATAGTGGTCTGAAAATGATAGTGATAAGATAGCAATATTCTTATACACCATGATGTTATAGTAACTGTGATAAGATAATGATGTGATAATGATGATGATGATACAATGGTGTGATAGCGGCAGTGATGATATAGTGATATAATAATAATAATGATATACGTATAGCAATATGAAGATGACAGTGATAATATAGTGATGTGATGATGATAGTAAAAATATCAATATGTGATAATGATAATCATACATACATGATATGATACACACACGCGCGCACTCACACACACACACACGCACACACGCACACACACACCAAATACACACACAGGCATACATTGGCACTGGCTGTAGTGATACTATAACAAGATTATAATATACAGCAATGCCAAAATTGAAATTAAAAGTGATAAGAAGGTGATGTAATAACGATGATATGGTGATGTGATAATATAGTAGTATTGCTTTTCCTTACCTTATAAGGTAAGGGAAAAAATGATTGATTGATTGATTGATTGATTGATTGATTGATTGATTGATTGATTGATTGAATGAATGAATTAATTAATTAATTAACTACAAAAACAATTACATCCAAATAAAAAATGTTCAGACAACAAACAAGGAAGGCACCATGCATATAAATATGATATCAATATACTATCATCATTTTTTATCATTGATGCGTTGAAATCATCATCATCATCGTCACATCATCATCATCACACCATATTAGCGCAATCATCATCATCATAAAGAATAAATGAAAATAAATATAACTATTATATCATATTTTCATCATTATTACCTATTAACATAATCGGTGTAAAGTTATGTGATGCTTTTGATCGAGGTGATCTTAAAATGTGGTCTGTCTGAAGTAGCAACAACAACAATAATACAGCAAAGACGGCAACAACACAATAATAATAATAAACAGCAGCAGCAGCAACAACAACAACAACAATAATAATAAGTAACCATATCCTAAAATATATAAAACGAAATTATGAATGAACCAGTGCTTTCAGCACAGACATCCGAAAATAAACAAACATCATTGATATACATATGCAAGAGGACAAAAATTAATAACAATCACAACAGACTAATCCATTTCAACCAAGCATTCAATCAACCATTCAATCAACTATTCATTCATTCTGTCAACCATTCAACAAGCAGGTCATCTATCTTTATCTGATAGATCAACTGGGCAACAACCGTCTAATTACTTGATCAACCAATCAACTCTTGAACTAAACAAATGGTCAATCAGCCAACCCAACCATCAACCAGCACACCAATCAACCACTCAATCAATCAATCAATCAATCAATCAATCAATCAATCAATCAATCAATCAATCAATCAATCAATCAATCAATCAATCAATCAATCAATCAATCAATCAATCAATCAATCAATCAATCAATCAATCAATCAATCAATCAATCAATCAATCAATCAATCAATCAATCAATCAATCAATCAATCAATCAATCAATCAATCAATCAATCAATCAATCAATCAATCAATCAATCAATCAATCAATCAATCAATCAATCAATCAATCAATCAATCAATCAATCAATCAATCAATCAATCAATCAATCAATCAACCACCACTGAACTTACAATTGTAGATATCTTGGACAGAACCACCTGAACAAAATTCCATGCATATCCACAGTTTGTCTCGCCTGCATTGGATGGAAACGATGAAGATGATGGTGGGTGAAGATAAACATGAAGATGAACATGATGACGATGAACTTTCGAGAATTGAATTGAATCATGTTTAAACATTTAAATATGATTCAATTAAAAAGGATTGACTACTATGAGCAGTCAAAGCAATCGTCGCCAATGGCAAACAAAAATCCAATACATTATGCAACAGAGCTAACTAGCTAACTCAAACATTTATGCTAATTTAACAGGCCAATTCAATGGGATGACCATTAAAACTTCACAGAATCACTTGATAATTATTAATAAATATATAAAACCGAATGAGAAAAAACTGTTGAAAATACCCCTAGCTCATAGCAAGCAGCCTAATTAAAATTTATCAGGCTACACTCACAATACATTAATATTGATTCTGTTGATAAAACTAACATAATGATGATGATAATTTAAAAAGGCCAAAGCCAGCTTCACTTAGGCTTGAGCTTGTGTGCTAATAATAACTGATAAAAATTAGTCAATAATTAATAATAATAATATTTTGAAGGCTACTGTAGTCGTCTGCACAAAAATTGTTAAAGCAAATGATGATGACAAATAAACCTAGAATAATAATCACAGTGAGAACACTCACTCACTCACTCACTCACTCACTCTCATGTACGGTATCTGCAAACACACAAACACAGACACACATATCCAACATAACTATACATATGCAAACACACGTTATAAACACATACATGTGTACGCACACACATACACATATATACATACACACATACATAAATACACACAGACACACACACACACACACAACTGCAAACAGCCACACACACAGACATAAACGCATGGGAAAGAATCAATCAACTGATTCAATACTATATGACATGAATATGAATGATTAACAAAAGCCATGGTACAATGTACATTAAGAAATGTCTAATAAGTTAAAGTTGTCTAGAAATATGTTTTTGATACCTGATAGATGTATACGTAGATAATTACATTTTTGTCTAAAAACATGTTGTACGTGTTGTTTTATTTTTAGAAAACAAATTTCAGAACGTAAAATTTTTACCAACGCTATTATAAAATGAGATACCGTTTAATTAAACAGTTGAATTAAGGTAAATTAATAATAATCACCACAGAGTAAAAAATATACCGTACGACAAAGCAACATGTTTGATCTTATTGTTGGTCTTATTGTTGATACTTCTGTGATACACACCTTAGATATAAGTTGAAGAGTTGTTGTTAGATGTACCCCAAGTCAAACAACAACAACAACAACACACGTTTAGACGACATTTTCCCAGAGGTCGGGGGTTGCCGTTTGGCTACCTATGACGAAACCGAAATACCCCTCGAAATACCCCTGTACCCCAAGTCATTTTTACTATTGTACAAATACTTCCCACGTGTTCTAACAAGTAATGAGTTGTAGTGTATTGGTTAAAAGGCGAAGCAGCAGTAAGGTTCTGGTATTATTGTAACACATACAATCTTGACACGAAAGATAAGATAAAGATGTGTATGTCCCTAATAAAGTCGATTATATAGACTATTTAGTCTATAAAAACGTGACAACTTGTTTGTGGAATGATGAAAAAATAACTTAATAGAAATTTCCTCGTCAGATCCTCATCATAAGGTATACAAAATATATTTCATATCCATCATTTACTGGAAATTATTTTAAAAGCCGACTGACATCAGCACTTCAACTGCTGGCTGACTCAATCAGTTCGTCATGTTATGGAGATGTTGATCAGTTGTAAGCATCATGTTCATTCCATCCATCCCGTCCTACTCTACATAATGGTGTGCTCTTCAATCTCTCATCAGTATTTTTCAGACGTATCAACAGCAGACACGCATCACACGCGTTGTATGTGATAGTGGGAGATCTCTCTGCGATCGAATCTGGTCAGCCAGCAGTGCCTGACACTTTACCGTTACACCATGGCGTCGACTAACAAGTAGGTGGTGTGCTGTCAACCAGCACCTATGCAATGTAAGGAAGTAATTATGTAACGTAAAACAGTTTATATCAGCGATATCTTGATGTATTAGCCCATCAAGATGTCTATGGTTTATATGTGAAGAAGTATTTGTGGTAGATATCCGTAATGTAAAACAAAATTTATGTGATGTATTTAGTACATAAGGCATGTTTATGTAATCTAACTTGAGCCAGTTTTTCTCATGTAGTAGTAATGTTACCTTCCGAATGCACTTCACTTATAAAATATCTACACATACACCAACGATGGTGATGATGATTCATCACTAATTGGATGAAAGGATAATGAAGAGAGCCAAGTGCTGCTTGTAATAATTATTAAAATTGAAATACAAGTAAATTGCAACAACAATCACTTCGTAGCAGCAGTAATTCAGTAGTAACGAATTGGCATAGTAATATTATTATTGGTAGTAGAAGCAGTAGTAGTAGTAGTGGTGGTGGTGGTGGTAGTAGAAGAAGTAGTAGTAGTTGCTGTTGTTGTCGTAGTAGAAGCAGTGGTAGTAGTGTAGTAATATGTAATATTAGTAGTAGTAGTAGCAACAGCAGCAGCAGTTGCCATCCGTATCAACAGAAGTAAGAGTAATAGCAGTGGTAGTAGCCCTAGTAACAGTAGCATTTGTAATAACACTAGTTATAGCAGCAGTAGCAGTACGAATGGCAACAGTTGCAGTGGCAAACAATAGTTTTAGTAGTGAAAATTAGCAGTAGTAGTGGTACAAGTAATGGCAGTGGTAGCAGCAACAGCAGCGGCAGTAGTTGTGGCTGGCAAAAACTTTAGTAAAAGTAAGTAGAATGTAAAAGGCAATTAAGCAGAAGAGCCAGAGTAGTTGTTGGCAAGAACTTTTATTCTAAGTGAAAACAAAAATAGCTGAAAATGCAAAAGTTATGGTAAAAATATTTTGCAATTGTATTAGTCAAAAGTTGGTTGGAGTTGGGATAGGTAAGTATATTGAATAATAGGATGGCATGTTTTATCTATTCAGAGTAAATAAATCTTTTTTACCAGAGTTAGCTGTGTGTGTGTGTGATGTGTATATATATTTGTGTATGTAGGGATATACATAGATAATGTAGGTATGTATGTATGTCTTATGTATGTTTATACAGTAAAAAATACAACATTTTTTATATTTATTACCATATATGTACGTGTGTGTACAAACATTATTCACAATGACAACAGCAATTATTGATGAAAATCACAGCATGTTCTGCGTTTGCTTCCTGTTTAATTTTTCGATTTTTCCAACGGTAGATCGTAAATCATTCTCAAGTTTCGTGAGTTCAAAACCAAAATTTTTATTGATTTTAAGCATGATGGAACATTTAAGCATGATAGAATAAAAAAGCTTTTCTCGGTATTCCTATACCATCTTCAGTGTTCGAATTGATACGTTGTGTATATAGCCGAATGCTCAAGTATATATATCCTGTGCCTCTACAATGTTAATTCTTTGTTTGTTTAATATGAAACTTAATGGTTATTTAATTAGTAATTACAATTTTCAATTCTGTTTCTATATTTATTAGTGGGAAGGATTCCAATTGCTCGTTGTTGAATATTTATTATCGGATGTCTTTGTTCTATGAGTAATGATTCGGCTAGTCGTAAGTAAATCATAATGGTTGTTATTGTAATGTAAGATTTCAACATTGTTGTTTAAGGTATGCCTAATAATTTAAGTTTTGTGATTCTTTATAGCACCAGTTTTTACCTGCATCGTGAGTCTTCTCGATAGCTTGGTCGTCGTCGTGCCAATATATTCAGAATTATGATAAATGGTAAAAACATGATAAAAGCTTAAACAAACATTGTTTATGATTATAGAAACATGAGTTTTATAAATGAACACGTGAATTGTATTGTATAGGCTAGCAAACATGTGGATGCACGTGCAAATGTATGTACACACAGTATACATACATAAACAAACAAACATACAATCCTTAATAAGAACAGCAGGTGCGCAAATATGCTAAATTCAAACATTGTACTTTCATGCATGTATGAGCTTGCCTTTAAAAACATATTGATTACAGTAATGTATATATATATATATATATATATATATATATATATACATATACACACTTATACATATATACTAGAAGTTAAGGACTGACGGCGCACATGCTCGGTATTATTTCAAACTTGGGTTCATCGCGAAACTTGGATTCATTTTGCATAGAAGTTAAGCCACTTCACCACATAACATAAAACCTTATATAAACCATAGACACCTTCGACAAACAAACTAGTGTACATTGAAATATTTTATTAAAAACAAAAACTCAAATTTTTACGGTTGTTTTTAAACAAAATCTTTTAACTTTTCTACAATCTGTTGCAACTCTGTTGCAACAGATTGTAGAAAAGTTTCAACAAGGATTTATGGATAAGCTTTCGTGTCTAACAAATCTGCTTGGCTTTTTGAAGAGGTTTATGAAAATTTGGACAAAAAGAAAGCAGTTGAAAAAAAGCAAGTTGTGTAAGACCACCACGGTCTAGATCCTTTATGAACACAGATGACAATATTGCTTCAGTCGTCTCATTATTAATATTGGGCAGAGATACCCAGATATTTCGTGAGAGATACCCAGCTATGGAGGTGATTTTCTGCTCCGTGTGACATTAGATTACAAAAATAACTCTCTGTCGTCAATGTTCACATCTTTAAGAGTTTGGCTGCAAAGTGCACATTGTGTGAACGAGGAAGTTTTCCCATGACCACCGGGTACTGCATCAAATTTATGAGTTGCTGTAGACGTTAAACTTTGGCAGTTGCCAGAATGTCTGGGATATCGATGTAAAAATTTCCACCACACCGTTTCCTGGCAATACCAAAAAACATCAGAAAGAAGTAACTCAGCAGCAGGACTGAACAGAGACAGAATAGAACAGGGATAAAACAGAACAGCAATAAAACAGAATATTTATTGTAGCAGGTATATACAATGATACAACGCTTGTATGCTGTGTCGTAGTGTAGCACGTACATGATTTGTTTTGATACAAGAGTGCCATGTCAAGCAACCAAGCAACTAATACAAAATTTGTTCTGTTAAATAAATTTATCATCATTATTAGCCTAGAGTGTTCAGAGGCACAACGCGAACATAACCAGACAAGATGTGCTACTTGATGATGCACTGATTTAAATATAGTGTACTAGGTGTGAGTCTAGTGTTTAACATAATGTACTAGGTATCTTGATATTTATACCACATCCAATATCTCCTATTGGATGATGGATATATTGAGAGTTGTAGTGACAATGAATAAATGTCAGAAAGAAAGAAAGAAAGAAAGGATGAATGGATGAATGAATGAATGAATGAATGAATGAATGAATGAATGAATGAGTGAGTGAGTGAGTGAGTGAGTGAGTGAGTAAGTGAGTGAGTGAGTGAGTGAGTGTGAGTGAGTGAGTAAATGAATGAATGAATAAATGAATGAATGAATGAATGAATGAATGAACGAACGAATGAATGAATGACCGAAATATTAAATGAATGAAGTAAGGAAGGAATATATGATAATTCACCCTGAGTAATTTGCTTTGTGTGTGTGTGTGTGTGTGTAATGAAAGTAATTGATAAATTTGAACTTTAGGCCACAAAATAGTTACAATGTTATGGTGAAAGTTATGATAGACAACAACAATAATAACAATAATAATTATTATTATTATTATTTATATTATTTTAATTATGTAATAATAATAATAATATAATTAGAGATTCAAGCAATAACAAATTACTATGAAAGTTCATAATGAAGAATGAATGGCTAGATGCATTATTGTTGTGGTTGTTGAATGAATGGCTAGATGAATTATTGTTGTGGTTGTTTTTTGTTGTGATTATTTTTATGGTTGTTGTCAAGGTTCAGAATATTGTCTGTGTTGTAGTTGTTACTGTGGTTGTGTTAGTGTACTAGGTAGTAGTAGTAGTTGCTGTATTTGATGTTGTGGTTGTTGGTATGGCTGTTGTAGAAACTGATGTTGTAGTAGTTGTTAGTGTGTTTTTTGTTGTAGAAATTGAAGTTGTAGTGTGGTTGCTGTCATGGTTGTTTTTATTGGTTGTTGTTGTGGTTGTAGTTGTAATTGATGTTATTGTGGTTGATGTTACCTGTAGTAGCTGCCAAAGTATGCGACAATGTTTTTGTGCTTGCAGTTCTTCATCATTGAAATCTCCTGCTGTATGATGGAGAAGTCATCACCTGCATTAATTAGATAAATAATTAGTTTAATCAATTAATTAATTGATTAATTAATTAATTAATTAGTCTATTAAATCCAGTTAAATCTCTTGTTTTGTTTTTTGAGACATTTTTTTGAGCCATGGAAATGTGAGAAATAAATTACAATTAACAAGAAACATCTTCTAAAAAATTTTGGCTAATTAGAAAATGACAATTCTTGCATGGAGGAATTATGGTGACTGACGATTAAGATTAATTTTGCGTAAATACGTCGAAATATTTTTCAATTCATTAAATATTAAATACACAGAGATGATGAAAAATGAACTTACATAACGATAACAAAGCCCAAATTGTAAGTAATGAAACAAAAAAAATTGAACAAATGAATGCACAGTTTATATTGAATAGAAAGAGAAGCAAACAAACTTGCATGCAGACCTCTGCCTGAGTGAACGAATCAACCAAAAAACAAGAAACATTTATATAGAATGATGAACCAATGAATTAATATGAAAATTTCTAAATAGTAAATGAACAAACAAACGAATGAACAAACAAACAAATGAATTAATTTATAAATAAAGAAATAAACAAAGGAACAACAAAACAATAAACAAAAGAACAACCAAATAGATGAATGAATGAATGAATGAACGAATGAATGAATGAATGAACGAATGAATGAATGAACCAATGAATGAATGAACCAACCAGCTTCTAATTTCACAACTTTGATGGCAGCAAATTCATTGCTGTGTAAGTTTCTTGCCTGTTTAAAATTTATTTACGAAATCATTATATAAATTTAATTAACAATTATAATATGATTGTAAGATCAAAATTAAAATATAATTTTTATTAAACAATCATAATATAATTATTTATTATAATATGATTATTAATAGGAAATTAATAAAACACAGATGATGAACAAAAAAAAAAAACAAACTATAAAACAAAAAACACACTAAAAAACAACACAACACAGCAACAACAATAACAATAACAAACACAGAGCACAGCACAACAACAGCACAACCCAAACCACAGACAGTACCCATGAAATGCTCATTGAAACAGGAAGATTAAGTTATTATTAGCAATAATTAATGATGTTTTTAAAGGAAGGTTGCATGCATTATTTAGTAAATATGTAATCAATTATGTACAGCCTGTCCTACAACTTATAAGTAGTTACTTGAATAATTAGATTTTTGTAAAAAAAAATTTTAATGTGGAAGGATTTAAATATAATTAACAACAAATATAACAAATTACTTGATACATTAAACAAGAAAATATAATCAATTAACAAAACAATAGTTAATAAATAAATAATCGACAGAAACTTATATAACTCTTTATTTGAACAAATAAATTTAAATTAATCCTCATCTGCTCTATCAACTTCATTATCATCATCAGCATCAGTTTAAGATAATTACTCAAAGATTTATTTTATAATTATTTATGATTTGTCTATATTTCTTCCCACCTTTCTCTCTCTCTCTCTCTCTCTCTCTCTCTCTCTCTCTCTCTCTCTATATATATATATATATATATATATATATATATATATATATATATATATATTAATGGTTAATCAAATAAATTTGGTATGAAATTTCTACATTAATTTTTTGAAAAAAAAAAATTTTTTTTAAACTGGTGAATAGAAAATATTTGTAAAAAAGAATAAATTGCTTGTAAGTTACAACTTTGTCAATGAAGCTAAGATTAGCAACTAGTTTATACTTTTCTAGTATAGTCTAGTCCAGTCAGCTAAGTTTAAAAAAAATGTAAGTAAGAGAAAGGTGGAAAAAGTTATAAAATTATTTAATTATAAAATTTTAATCATATTTTTTTTAAATATTAACAAAGAAGTTTAGTCTGACCAATTGAAGCAAAATATTTAAAATTAAATATTCAATCTCAAAAAGACAAAAAGTCAAAAAAAAGGAGAGCAGAAATGACACTCAAATCATTGCGAAAGGACGACTGGCGGAGGTACCTTGAACACGTCGCCATACGTCCCACTCCCGACTCGTTGAATCAAGTCGTAGTCATCTTGAGGATTCCTTCGAGAAATGTCCGCTTGCAGTCGCGACATTGTTCCAAAGTTCAACGATTGGAGATTTAATTAAATTTATTAATTTTATAATTTTTTTTCTTTTTCGCGTTACATTAATTGACCTTTGTGTTGCTGTTGAGTTTTTTACAAATTTCGAATGATCGTATCATATTGGAAATAGCCATTAATTCACAGGATGTTGTTATTCATTATTAGCTGATGAAAAGTTAATCGAAATAATTACCACTGTCCAATATACTATTATTAATGTTGGTTGGTTTTGGTCTTTTTACCTTGATTTCTTCGCTAGATAAACGATATATTAAAAATTGCGTTGCAAGATTTATTTTTATGATTTGAACTGTAGTATTCTGAGATTGCTTTTGCCTTATCCTTATTCTATTGTTTCCTCCACTCTGAGTTTTACAGGAGAGCATTGACGTCGCACATTGGGGCCGCATAAAAACATGAATTCAGCAGATAATTGGCGAAAGGTAAAACTAGAAAAAAATGACCAAAATGTTTCCATATTCAACGTTCAGATCAATTAAGATACTTCAATTATGTGAATTCACATCAAAAAAATAAAACTGTTCAACATTAACGACTTAATTTATGCAAAAGTATCAAAACATCTGATAACAAAGGTTTTTTCAGAATTGAAACATCAAACACCATTCCCCACTTGCATTTATAAACAGTTCATACACTATCCGACCACAAGTGTAGTGTGAATAATTAA